AGCATAAGAGCATCTGCCTTGTAAGCCTGAAGCTCTGAGTTCAAACCCCATTATCATACACACACACACACACACACACACACACGTGATTTACATCACTATGCCTGCTGTTTTGAGAAGAACTGGAAGTATGTGAGTGTACAGAAGGAAGACATTTCCAATTAGGAATGATGGTCCTTAGAGGACATGCTAGAGGACTGGACATTGCAAAATTCAGCTATGTACAACTGTTCCCAGGATGCAGCCTTTGGTGAAAAACTCTGGAAAACTTTCTGTCTAAAAACATTTTTATGATGGAATATCCCATAACATTTATTAAACTTTACAGTGTAGGGTTTGATTGTTGCCCAAATTTGAGTTTTTTCATTTTCACCCTTAGATAGTAATGATTTGCTCAAGAAGAGAAGTGTAATATTCTTCTTGCTTTGACAGTTTTGCATAATTTTGTAGAATTTACTTGATGAAACTACTAAAATAATTCTCCATGCATAGTTTTCTATATAATCTGCATGATAAAGAAATACTGTGGAAGAACTAGAAAGTGGGCAATTCAGCAAGATCCCAGAAACCATGTGTTGGGAGCTGCCTGTCAGCAAATGCTGCTAGAAATTCTGTGACTATCAGGACAAATCTTGCAGATAAAGGTAAAATAAATGGCCTTGGCAAGATTTTGTATGAGTTGCATATTTCTTGTTAGGTCATTGCTACATAAAAAACTAATTTAGAATTTTGGAACACAATTTTCTGAGTGTAGGCCTACTTCCCCGTCTTCTCCGTTCCTCTGGAATATTTTGTTCCCTAACCGCTTGTTGCTTTGTTGAGTTGATGCTATTGACTAGAGGTACTTCTGTAGCTTTGTATGATGGGAAGCTAGAAGGTTATTCCAGCTAGTTTTGTTACATAACCAGTACCCTAAACTCAGAAGCTTAAAATAACTAATTTAGCCAAGCACCCGTGGTTTACATATGTAATCCTAGCTACTCAAGAAGCTGAAGTCTGAGGATCATGGCTTAAAGCCAGCCTGGGTAGGAAAATCTGTGAGACTCTTAGGTCCACCAAAAAGCTGGAAATAAGAGTTGTGGTTCAAGTGATCTTCTTGAGCAAATAAATAAATAAATAAATAAATCTCAGCACCCAGGACGTGAGTTCAAACCTCAGGACTGGCATACAAAAATTATTTTATTTTACTCATAATTTTATGGCTGACAAGTTCTAGATGTGATTGGAATAATTGTTCTTACTTGTCACTTCAGTGTTCCAAATTGTTGACCAAGGTGGTTCACTCAAAAAGCTTTCAGTTGATTCGGTTAGCTAGGTTGTAGACTCACACATCTTCATTTTGTTCAGGTTCCCTCACAATAAGGCAATGTTAGAGTAGTAAAGTTTTTGTAGGATAGATCCAGATTCCAAATATGAGTGCTCCAGCATGGAAGATAGAAGCTGCATCACACTTAGTGACAGCTTCCAAAGCCATGCAGTGACATTTCCATCACAATCTATTGACTACCTATAACAAAACCTACCCAAACTCAAGAGGAGGTGACATGTGCCTACTTCTGATGAGAGGAATGTCAAGGTCACATTGATTGTAGAAGAACATGTGGTATAGAAGATATTGTGGCTGTATTTGGCAAATATAGCTGTCACACAGGGTTAGTTAGTAAAAATAGAATGTGTGAAGTCACTGAACTCAAAAGTACAGAGGTCACCAGATCTTGTGGAGAAATGAAGAGATGAGGCAAAATTGCAAAATCTTTGCATTTACAAGAGCAAAAGGGGGCTGGGATGTAGCTCAGTGGCAAAGCGCTTGCCTAGCAAGTGCAACGTCCTGGGTTCGATCCCCAGTACCAAAAAAAGAAAAGACAAAAAAAATACAGTAAAAAAAAAAACCCAAACAATACAAGAGCAAAAGGATGCAAGAAAAAAATGGAAGAGCTTAAATCAGTCAAGCTGAAGTTTCAAGAAATGCCTCACCTTGCATTCTATACTCCAGGGTACCTTAACAATAGCATTTTCATAGCAACTCATTCATTCACAAACTTGTAATAATTATCTACCACAAGGAGTAGTTGTAGAAGACCAGGGACTGTTCTAAGCTTTTGGTGTATATCAGCAAATAAATGTAACAAAATGTCCTACCCTCAAGAATAATTTATTCTTTTCTTTGTTTAAAGAGTAAAGTTTATTATTTCCTATAAACTCCAAGGGAATTAAAAGGTCCAAGTTTCGTACAAAGAATAAATTATATTTGTACTTATATTTAAATTTCTTTATTGTTATTATACAGGTGATACACAGAGGGGTTACAATTACATAAATTAAATAAAGAGCACATTTCTTTTTGAATAATGTCACTCCTTCCCTAGCTTTCTCCCAGTTTTTTCCTCCTGTCTCCACCCACAAGCTATATAGTTCATTTTCTACATAGTGTCTAGTGAGCATTACTGCTGCATTTGTCCACCATTTGTCCCAAAAGTTCTGTGCCTCCCCTCTTACTCTCCCAAATGAGCAGTGTATTATTCTAATGGAGTAATGATATAAAAATAAATAACCCTTCTTGCAAATCAAACCTCCACATTTAGAGGTGGGATTTTGTTTGGTTAAAAAGCTCTCTCTAACCCTAGAACATTTGGGTTGCAGTTTTGTTTTTGTTTTGTTTTGTTGATCATGGGACCTGAACTCTGGGCTTGGGTGCTGTCCCTCAGCTATTCAGCTCAAGACTAGCACCCTACCACTTGAGCCACAGCACCATTTCTGGCTTTTTTCTGCTTATGTGGTGCTGAGGAATTGAACCCAGGGCCTCATGCATGCGTGGCAAGCACTCTACCACTGAGCCACCTTCCCAGACCAGGGTCGGAGTTTTATTAGGTGATGGTATAGTAGGCAGAGCAATGAGGTTTGGGGGGAAATATTTTATAGATTACAGCCCACAGTCCATTGGTTCTGTGAGTTCAAAAAGGCTTCTGGATACTATTAACCTCTTCTCCCAAGTAATGTTTTGTATGTACCTTGTGACTCTAGTTCTAATTTGTCAGCATCAATTTCCAAAAAGAAATCTCTAGTAGTCTCTGATCAGTGTTCGTATCTTCAGGCACATAAATTTGGAGTTCCATAAAGAAATTTTATATTTCCTAACATGATTTTCCAATAAAGTTAGCTAGAAAAGAGTATGTCAGTTCTGAAACTAGGCATGAGAGGTATTGTGTTTCTGCTTTTGCCTCTCCACCATTGACATGAAAGCAAGCAAGCATGTTTGGGTGGGTCTGTTTGAAGGTAGGGACATGAGAATCAGAGCTTAGTAGCCTCCATTCCCCCCAAAAGGAGATAGCTCCCATTCAGATGTATGAATGAGTTCAACCCAGATTCCAAATTGCATGAATAATAAACGTGTTAGATGCTACAAGACTTCAAGTTCCCTTGTAATACAGCATTTAGAGTGAAAGGAAGGTGTCACAATTAGTAAAAGTTCTCTACTTCTCTCTTGGTGACATACTGTTTGGAAATCAGTCAGTACAGCTTCCTGTTATTTCTCCTGGTGCTGTCTCTGAGCTAGCCAGCAGTGTGGAAGGATAATCAGAGTCTGAATTAATAGAGTTGCTTCTCTATTCATGGCAGGGTAAAGTGTGGAGATATATAAGATTTCCTTTCTGACTGTGAAAGCTTGTATATCAATGTCTCCCTATCTGAAGTGAACTCAAGGCCTTCAACTTGCTTGGCTTATTTGTTCAGATGGTTGACAACCCCTTGAGTTATGCCTTCAGCTATAATTCTTGTTGGTAATTTTGAAGTTGGATTCTCATAGAATTTTCTTCCTGGGCTAGCTTCAAATTTGGATTCTCCAAATCCCATCCTTTTAGTAGGTAGTATTATAGGTGTAAACCATCTTGCCCACCTACAAAACTAACTCATTCTTAATGTCTATTACAGGACAGATGAGGAAGGAAGTCTCAAAACTATTCCTGGTGTTCTTTTTGATGCCTTTCCTTTTCTTATTTATCAAGCTCCCTGCCTAAAAGTGGATTGTCAACCCATTTTGGTAGCATTGTAGGAAGATGATGGTCCATACTGCCCCCCCCCCAAAAGTATCTGGATGTTTCAGTTCTGTCAATAGTCTTGGCAAAACGGGGCTTTTTACTCAGACATCAGGCAAGGATGGATGGCTAAACTATTTCATCTTCTTCATCTTTCCTTCAGAAAGAACACTTCTGAAGGAAAAAAGTCCTTCCACACAAAACTTGTCTCTTAAGTAAGTGAAATAGTTGCTCTCAACAAAGTACCAGAAACATTTCTGAGTCACTTTACCTGACCAAGATAACAACCAAGCGTGTTAGAGCACAGCGTTCTCTCCCCTCCACCCCCCAACCCCCCAACCACACACACACACACACACACACACACCTTTTTCTGGTACTTTAGCCTAGTTCAGTGGCTTTTCAAACTTTTAGGTGCATGTTGATCACTTTAGGGATCTTGCTTCATATTCAGATTTTTTGATTCAATGAGTCTGGAAATGGAGCTTGAGGTGCTTCATTTTTCACTATGTTCCTAGGTGATGCTGACTCGATCTGCGCACTGATCATCCACAAGACTCGTGGTAGTCACCTCCACTGCCAGGTGTGCTCAAGTCCAGTCTCACGGTGTCCCGCACGTCCCTGGGCTTCTGCCGGGGGCGGGGGGGGAGAGGAGGGCGGGGCGGGAGGAGTGGCGCGACTCCGCACAGGTCCTGCCCGAGATCACCCCGGCCCGTTGGAGAAAGAAGCGGCGGAGCTGCGACAGCCCAGGAGGGGGCGGGTTCGGGGAGGGCGCGGCCTCTGGGAGGGGAGGGGGGCTCCCGACGCGCATCGCTCGCGCTCGTCCGGGCCAGTCAGGAGCCTGGCGGCAGAGCGCTGCCCCACTTGGCCATCCGCTCCGTGCTTCTTCCTCGCGCCCGCCTCCTCTTGTCACCTCCCCGTCTCACTCTTCTCGCGCCATCCCCGCTGCCTACATCGCCATCGGAGCGCCACAGACAGTCAGAGGTGGGACTCCGGGCTGCAGGACGCACCCTTAAGCGATCCCTATCTGGACCTTGTGGGGGTGGGTGGGTGGGGGGACACGGGCAACAGCATGGACACCAAGCGCTGCTTCGCCAACCGCTTCGATGACTACCAGGGCAGCCTGCTGGCGGGTCAGTGCGAGGAAGCGGTGGCGCCCTTGGTCACCGCCACCATAGAGCGCATCCTCCAGGAGCTGCCCCCACTTGGGGGCGGCGCTGAGGCCCGGGGGGCGACAGCTGCAGCGAGCAGCTGTCAGGGTGGGCTGTACAGCGGTGTAGCTGGGGTGGCCTACATGCTGTACCACGTCTCTCAGAGCCCACTCTTCGCCTCAGCCCGCGAGCGCTACTTGCGCTCAGCCAAGCGCCTCATAGACGCGTGCGCCCGCGCTGAGGAATGGGGCGAACCGGACGCCGATACTCGGGCTGCTTTTCTGCTCGGGGGTGCGGGCGTGTATGCCGTAGCCACGCTCGTGTACCACGCCCTGGGCCGGTCTGACTATGTGCAGCCCCTGGGCAAGTTCCGGGCTCTGTGTACCATCTGCGCGCCAGTCTCCTTCCTGGAGTGCGGCTCGGACGAGCTCTTCGTGGGCCGGGCGGGTTACCTGTGTGCAGCGCTGGTGCTCAAGCAGAAACTCGCCCAGGAGGTAAGAGATAACCCCGGCCGCCAGAGGGCGCTCGCCGCATACCCTGCCCTGCCCTGCCCCGCCACTGGCCCCGGGTGGTCATTGTGTGCTTCCCAGACTCCCACAGGATGGCCTCTGGTTGGTTCTCCCTCATCTCTTTGTTACTCTTTGTCTAGCATTGTCATTTCTTCCTTCTCTTGAGCTTTATCCTCTGCTTTGGTCTGGCTCTTCTTTCCCTCTCTTTTGTTCGGTCCCTCATTTGTTGAGATTCTGTATTTTTGCCCATTTCTGTTTTATAATGAATGTAGCATTCTCCTGTAGATGCTTCTTTGACAGCTAGCTTTTGGGGCGATGACAGCTGGCCTGTCAAGAGAAATTTGAAAAAGCAGGAGGAAGTGGGGGAAACAAACCAAAAAAAGAAAGAAGGAATTTCCTTTCCTTTGACCCTGCTGTCAAAATTTGTGGCACCTGCAACATTAGAGTACTGGAAAAGTAATAGAACTTGTAGGGGTGAATGTAGAGGTAAGTTGTTCCTGGCTCTCTGGAGTCTCTAACCAAGAATAACTACCCAGATGTAGGTCAGATGTGCTTATAATTCTGTTTATCTCATAAATTCTCTCAAATTTTGCATTTGAATGCACACACGTAGTTAGAAATGTGCCCATGGGATCAAATGTATATCTTTCCTTTCTAACTGTGTGTTTAATGGCCCTCAAGGCCACACCATCCTTAATGGCAGCTTTTCTAAATGAATAGTTCGGTGGCTTCGTGAAAGGAATTGAATTTCACAAATCCACGCACACATACAAATGCAGGGTTTTATTCTGGATTCACTTTGAATATCAAGGGTGGATATTAGAAGACACTGTGCCACTTCCTGTGGAGAGGGAGGGGGGACTGTAAAGGATCATAGTAACTAGCACCGAGAGAAAAGCACTTTCATTCATAATCCACTGGAGCCACATATTGTTCTAGGGAGGAAATGACACATTTAGCTTGATTCTATTTGGGTGAGAAAAGCTCTTGAAGAAAAATTAAAGGGATACAGTACATTTTAAAACTGTAATTAACTTAGATAACCTCAACCAAAGTAGACTTGGTATTTTATTTTAGTTTGTAGCAGATGAGGTTGATTCAAGTGAGAATATAAAAGATTACTAAAGAATGTATACAGTGCCCTGTTGGGCAGCAAAGGTCTGTGTGACAAAGTTGTCTTGAAATAGTTCACTCAGCTTCTGAGTCACTGTTGTCTGCTAGCAGTTTCCCAAGGGCCCTTCCAGTTGTATAAAAACCTTTTAGAAGGCCACAGATCCATTTGCATATCATTTGCATTGCATTTGCGTCTGCTTCCTAGACCTTGCAGTCTGGTGGTAGGCAATTTTCAAATTCTTTTTTTTTTCCATTTTGTTTTCTTTAACCTTGCTTCTTTCCCCTTTTCAGGCCTTGGGGGCTTTTCTCTAGAATGAAATGGCAGAGTTGGGAGACCCACCAAAGCATGCACATGGAAACAGAGCCCAAGGACGCTGCACAAAACCTGGTGGTTCAGTGCCAGTTTACAGCACTTATCCACAAAGACATTTATTAAGAGCTTTCTTCTGCCTTCCTGCCAAACCAGATCTGTCTTTTTGTACTAATCAAGTTGAGGTGCTTTGGCCCCTGCTCCCAGGAGATGGAAGAAGCTCTCAAGATTGGAAACAAAACGAAACAGCTCATAATCTTTTAGATCAGCTATTCCCAGTGCTAGTCTCAGCTTTACCGATTCAAGAAATTCAGACTTGAAAGGTGTACATCAGTCCAGGCTAAGCATTGCCATCCCCGCCTCAAAGTCCTTGCTAGCATACAGCTTTTCCCCCAGCACCAGATCCTTAAGCCTTGATTAAAAAGGATTTCTCCCATGTGTCATTTCTCTGAATAATCTGTCATAGAGCCCAGGTTTCTGTCCTTCCAATGTCATTTGTATTCACCTTCCCCTGGCAGTTCCCTTAGCTATCACCCTAGTTAATATCTTCTCCACAATTCTTCACACATCTTTTCCACCAGATTCATAATAGAAGGGGTGAATCACTTTCAGCTGGGTTATCCCACTAAGCCATTCTATTCACCGTTAAGAAATCTTCTTTAAAACACTTTTTATTATGTCATTTCCCTGCTCAGCATCCTGCACTAGCTCCCTATGACTTTATCTCTAATGATTTCCCATCTCATAGCTGAAGTTATGCTTCTTAAAATGGCTGGCGAGGCCCCACATGATCTAGCCTCCTTCATTCCTACTTCATTTCTCACCCACTCTTCAACCACATTGGCCTTCTTGCTGTTTTAGGCATTTTCCTGTCTCAAGGTGTTTGTACTCTCTGTTCTCTCTCCCTGGAACACTTCCCCTTGGTATTTTTATAGCTAGCTCCATGACCTTGTACAGGTCTTTACCTCTTCGGTGAAGTCTCTCCTGTCTGCCCTATTTAAAATTGTAATCCCAATCCTTGTCTTTTCCTTTCTCACTTGTTTTGTTTCACTCCGTTTATTTCTCCCTTCACTATTAGATGTAAATTCTATAAGCATAGAGATTTTTTGTTTCATTGTTAACACAGTATCTGGCTCATATTTAGGTGCCTAACTTTTCTTGTTTCAAATACTGTCTATGGCATGGCTTAATGTATATTTTATCTTTAATGGTGTCCCACTGATCAATATTTTCCTTTATGATGGTGCTTCTGGTGTTATATTTATTCTTTCTTGTGGCTGTGTAAAACTCTATTGTGTATAGGTACCACAATTTTTGGATCCACTCATCTATTGTAGGGTATCTGGACTCTTTCCATAATGGTGTCATATTTAAAGAAATTATTTACTACTGCCGGGGCCTCAGTCATTAGTTTTTGAATGAATCGAATGAATTATAGTTTGTTTCATTTTTTTTAAACAAATGTTTCCTCAGATCAAGTTGAACCATTATATCAGTACTTCTGAAACTAATGTGGGTAGGAATCACAGCGTCTTCTTAATTAATATACAGATTTTGATTCAGTCTTGAGATAAGGTCTGAGCTTCTGTGTTGCTAACAAGTACCTACATGATGCTGATGTCCTTGATCTTTGGACCGTGATTTCAATAGCAAGACAATATGATGCTGCATGGGTTTTGGTACAATATCAGCCCTATCTATTGAGACATGCTGCCAGGTTTAATTCTATAAAGGCCTATTACTATGTTCTAGCATGCTAAGAGGAATTTATCTCAAGACATAGAATTATTTGACTAAATTATTTCAGTCTTTAAAATATGTCGTGCAATTGATTATGTTTCTCATTTTGTGTTGGGTACAAGGATAATCACCAGAATTATGGGCCACACAATCTTGCAGGCAGTGCCTTATCACATGTGTTTACATAAATCAGCATTTACCCCTATTTACCTTAGATTTTCTATATTTTTTTCCTTCAATTTGATTTTTTTGTTTCTACTTATGTTTATAAGTTTCAGACACATTCAAAGGGTGTGTGTGTGTGTGTGTGTGTGTGTGTGTGTGTGTGTGTGTGTAGGGAGACAGAGATAGACATATAGAGAGAATCACCCATCTTTATAATACATTTACATTTTAATTCAGCCTTCTTGGAAATAAAGGAAATAGCTTTGAGAGTTGGTCAGGCAGATATCTTTGAGCAGTAGGACCTCCAAAGCCCCCACATAATCATGCCATAAAAATTTGTACTAGATATGTTCTACATTCCACTGATGGGTGGAAATGTGGCAAGAAATAGTGGAGGGACTAAGGGGAGGCCTAGTACATTGGTTAAAACAACTGTCTCTGAGTGATCTTAGACCTTTAGGCCTCAGTTTTCTCACCTGTAAATTGAGTAATAAGAATTCTGAAAGCTTTAGGATTCTGGGGCTTTAACAATGATTCTTCATTGGATTATCATACATTTTATTCATTCATTCAGTGAATATTGGGTTTCTCTGTCATACCATGTACTTCACTAGATCCTGGGATTCAGTAGAAAGTAAAATTTAAAAAATATAATTTGGTGTAATACGTGATCTGAAGAAAGTAAACAGGAACTATCTGGGGAAAGGTGAAAGAAGGCTGAACTGCTACTTGAGATGGGTTGGCAGGAAGGTTTTTTTCTGTGGAAGAGATGTCAAGTCTCATCACTATAGCATGAGAATGCAGTGGTTGCTCCGAAAGCTGCCATTCCAAGAAAGAGGGGACGAGGTAGGAAACAGCTTAGAAATTGCAAAGAAATGGAAGAAGGCCAGAATAACTGGAGCATGAGTGGGGATATATATCCCACACATGCCGTGGAAAGTTCAAAGCTGTGAACAGGCTAAAATAAGATCTTATATGGCCAGGTCAGTAAATGTCAGGAATTTGTTTCATGTTTTAACACAGGGATATATGGATCTTATTTACCTTTAAAGAACATCACCCTAGTTTTCTGTACAGAAAATGGGTCAACAGTATTAAGAATTATGAGATGCTGGGGATGTAGTTCAGTGGTAGAACACGTCCTTAGCATGTGGAAGCCCTGGGTTTGATCCCCAACACCTATCTGCCTGTCTTCTAGTCTGTCTGTCTGTCTAATCACAAGGAGGACTTGTTTTGTAACTCTAATCACCCTCTTTTTTCTTTGACACGGACTCCTTTTCCAGTCTGATGAAACCTTCAGGGCTTCTTAGAAAAACATTTTTATGTGTGTAAAATAAAACCCAAAGGATTATAGAGGAAGACAATTATATTACAATTAAACCACTAAAATATTAAAATATGTGATTCAGTAGCATACGCACGTTTTTATTAACACATTAAAATAAGATGTTGCAATGAGCCTATGATTATAGTACTTCCGAAACTGTGATGACAGACAATGATATTTTGAGATCTCTCCAACAACTACAGTGTGATATGAATGTACTTGCGATTTGTGTAGGGAAGTAATACTGGTGGTTGTGGACTACATTTGAAATAAAGAGAAATGCTCTGTTGTTTAAGTAAGGTAAGAAACATGGATGTGGTTCATTTTGAA